TACTACACCTGTATCTACTTATCCTAGACCAGATCTAGACTCTCTAGAGACGGTTGAACGAGGTGTCCGACCTAAGGACCGTCCAGACCACGTTAGATTCCTTACTCCTCCATTACCCACTGGTCCTATCTCTCAGGAACAGTTTGAGAGGTTTGAACGCCTCATTATGTTGCAGACTGCACAAATAAAGGTACAGAGGAAATTGAACGATGAAGATTTCCAGAGAGAAAATGTTCGTCTTGGAAGACAACAGACTGATAGATCACAGGACACATTTAATGTGCAAAAAGCTGCATCAATGGTTCCTAAGTTTTTTGAGAGTGACTTAGACACCTATTTTGATGAGTTTGAGAACCAGGCACGTGCTATGAACTGGCCACGTAAGCACTGGGCAACCTTGTTGCACACAGCTTTGACAGGAAGAGCTCAAACTTGTACTGCTGCTTTACCATTTGCCAAGTACATTAGTTATGACGCTGTCAAACGAACTATTCTAGAGACATAACTTGTTACCTGTAAGTTATCAAAGCGCATTTCGTATGTTACAACGATGACAAGATCAAACTTGTGTAGAGTTTGCTCGTGAGAAAAAAGTTGCATTTGAGAGATGGTGTAGGTCTGCCAAGTGCAGCAACTACGACAGCCTTGTTCAGTTGTTACTACATGAAGAGTTTAACAACTGTATGTCTGCTGAAATACAAGAATATCTGATCGATCATACTACCTCGGATATTCTGGAAACTGCAGCATTAGCAGACAATTACGAGATTTCTCACAAACTTGTAAGTACTAAAACACAGAGAAACAAGGTAACTAAAAATTGTCCTAGAAGTTGGCAACCTAAAACAGCTGCTCATTGCCGGCCTGATGTACCTGCTACTGTAACTTCTCGTACCTTTACCAGGAAAACTCACAATCCTGAATCGATCTCTGTGGGTAGACAGAAATCTGATATCGAGAAGAAGAAAGTTAAATGTACCTATTGTAACAGAAAAGGACATGCTAGAGAGTATTGCTATAAGTTAGAAAGAGATACGAGAAGCAGTCGTACGGCTGGCGCCCCCACACAAGTTGTATCCTCTTCCGAGCAACAAAGGCACCAGAATCCTAGTAATACCTCTTATCCTACTGTTTTAGATAATATTACTCAGAACAGATGACTAGTGTCAGAAAGTGTATCTGACGAAAAGATTCGTTCAGCGATGAGTCCTTACTTTTCGAGAGGTAAAGTAGGATTTGACGAATCACATCTAACTGAGATAATTACTTTCAGAGGCACTGGCAGTTATCTCACCTTATTGAGAGAAGATGTACTGCCCATAACTGATGATACCTATTGCAAGATAGATGTATTGTTAGAAGCCTATGGTGGGGCTGTTATAAAAGTACCTCTTCACAAGGTATACATTGAAACAAGCTATTATACTGGTTATATTTCAGTGCATATATTCAGTGGTGTATTTCCCATCAGGTCAGTGGACTTATTGATAGGGAACGATATCCTTCATGCTGGTATATGCAAAGAACCACTTGTGATTGATAATAACACTGATGATAATTATGCCATTGAAGCTTGTAGAGAGAAACCTATTTTATTTCCTCTCAGTGCAATTACAAGAGCTATGTCAAAGATTCAACAACCATCCTTGTCTCCTGTTGAGTTAGTGGATGACAATGATTTGGGCTTGAATATGTTGTTCTGTGACGCTTTGCGCCCAGGGTCATTAACACCAACTCCCCCCCGGTCATCAACCTAGTCAGGACACACCTGACGTTAAATTTCTAACTCGTGATGATTTAATCAAGGATCATGACTCAAGAAATCGTAATGACACGATTGCAAACAAAGTGGTCTAGTGGCTAACGCGACGGGCTGGAGTTTTGAGACTCTATGACCGCGGGTTCAATCCCCGGCCAGGGGGGTTTAATAAAGGGTCAGTTTGTTGATCAGTCACTAAAAAGCTGAGAGATAAGCAGTTATGAAGTGAAGCAAAGGATCCGAAAAGTTATTTTATGTACGGTTTTTTACGAGGAGAAAAAAATACATGTAAGTTGTCACTGATAGGTTTCCACCCTAAAGATCCCCTAGTGTTCCCCATTTAAAATTTCGTGAAAAGTCATTGATTTCTCACAATAGTCCAAGGGGGAAAATTTAGGTGTCAGGAAGACACTGGTAAACTGGCAAAACATTTTACGGGGCCCAAAAGAAAAGGAAAAAAAACAGTGTGATCATGTCGACGTTGCCCACATGTGCAAAAACAGGCCAACCCAGCCACAACCCCCACCTACACCTCTCACTAGTTCTCTAGTAGAAAAGTTAGTTCATTGGATAGTGTTTGTTAGATTTGTTAAAAAGGTTTTGAAAACATTGTTTTTCCCTGTTTTTGTGAAGAGTCCTAATTTCAATCTTCCTTTTTAATATAGATGCGGTGGTTTTGCGGGGGAGCTGGCTGTCCAACAGTAAACATCCACGATTTCTCCATCCTATATGTACTATTCACTAACTTAAAGACACCAAAAAAATTATCCCACTATGAGAAAGTTGCTGAGCTCTTGTGGTGCCCTTGGAAACATTTTGACGTGTTTTTGGGGGCACTTCCCTTTTAAAAAAATTAAACGTTTTTTCAGACCACAATCCATCATTTATTAACACTACAAGAGTAAGAATGCTGGATATGAGGGGGCCCTCAGAACCCAACCTTTTTATTAGAAAAACACATAAGTTGTCATTGTAATGTAATTGCTGACGCTCTGTCACGTCCTTAATAATTATCAGTTACATTAAATTAACGTAATTTAATGCCCAAATACTTTTTGTTACTTGCTATGTCAAATTCAGTAGAGTAACTTAATCCCTCCAGCCCATATTAATTATATATACTTATGCCTAATTATTATATTTATATATTCACAGTAGTGATGAGATGTGTGTGAGGAGACATAAGCTGAGTGTTGAGTGGGTAGTTTGGTGTGGGCGATGTACTGCGTGACGGAACACTGTCCTGCCGCAGACCCCCCCCCCTCACTACACACCTTAAGCTGTTTAATACTCAGATGTCCATACTGCATGGCTTTCCACAACCACTACTTAAGAGTGGAATGCTGTCTCCTGTCTATAACACAAGACTATTATGCTGTCTACACTACTATGTTCGAGCCTCAACGTGTCAGGCTCGTCTGCGCTATCCTGTCTCTGCACTGATGTATATAACCATGAGAATGCAGAGATACGATACTGTGTACTGCCCTAGTACTAGGAGCATAACTTATAGTGAAACAGACACTGTTAAATTATAGAAGTGCTTGGCACAAGAGTGACTCTGATTAATGTTTATATTAAATTGTATTGATATGAGTAATCAGTAATAATGTGAAATACATTAATGCAACTCCTAGTGCGACCGTCTGTCGTGTTGGGGGGTGTTGCAACCCCTGAATGGGTTGCAATATATATAATGTATATATATAATTATTACCTTTTCATATAATTTTATATTGCTTGTATTTGCGATAATAGCTAAATCGTAAATGTATTGCTTTATATTGTTATTTGACTTAGCTTCCTTTTGTTAGGTAGGATGTAACATATGTGCTCAGTTCAAGTCTTGATTGTCTAACTACTGTAATTATCGCTCTTTGCTTGTTTCCCTCCCGGCTTCTTGCTGGGCAGCGATCCACGGAGCTATCACGTGATCGAGGGGGGTGTCCTCACCTCGCCTGAAGTATTCAGTCTGGTCTAGACTCTCTTGGTGGTTGGACAGATTGTCTGTCTCATTATTCTTGTTAGTTCTGTAGAACTCTGTTCACAGAACATTGTATAGACTTAGTGATTTTCGACGTTGTACTGAGGTTGTGTGTCGCATAGACACTCTGAGCAACTCAGGTCCTGAGCTGTAGCTTCTGACCTAACTTGTACTGGTATCTGTGTATTGTCACAGTTGGGGATTTTCTTATGCTGAACTTAGATTCAGTAGTATGGGAGTTTGGTGACTTTTGTGGAGGATCTGCTGATGGTCCCTACTTAGTGTCGTTATATTATCTCCTTGATCCTGATTTTGTGTCGCAGTTGCTTGTTATATTGCTATTGGGTTTAGCATTCTTTTTGTTGTTCAAGCAGACTGTTCTGATTGCCAGTTGGTCAAGAAGTTAGTTTATTTGAGGACTTTGTCAGTCACTTGTTTAAGTCTAGTCGAGTCGTGAGACATAGCGAACTACTTAGAGCACTTACACATATACACACAAACTTGCTTGTACATATTTGTAATATATTATTAAATGTTAATGTACCAGACGGTACTTAAGAATTATAAATGTGATATGTGCTTTCAGCACAATAATATTGTATACGAGAGAAGTGATTAATATTATTTTGATTACTGTGATTAATTTAATTTAATTTGATAATATACCTCTAGACTTAATAAATTTATTAAATTTTAATTTCTCTAGTTAGTAGCCTACCAGTTGTAATCCTGAAGCACTATTGAATCATACTGAATTCTAATGGATAATTGGACAAGGATACTGACTAATTGTTACAAAAACCCAGTAACAGGCTGGATGCTAGAAGGGCAGTCCTTTCTAGTATTCACTGGAGATCTCTAAGCTTTTAGAATCGCGTTTTTTGTAACAGCATGCAACAACATATGCAGGCTAACAGTGCAGTCAGAGAACCCAAAAGTTTCAGGAGAGGCTCCCCATATTGCGAACACAGGCGATTTCTGTTGGGACTGTTTCACCTATTCGTAACTGAGTCAGCAAACACTCAATTAGGCAGTCAAGGAACAAAGCAAAAGACAGCAGAGATAAATTCTTAATCCATGTGTTCCTTCACTAAATAACATACAGATAATTACACTATGTACAACAAATATTTATAAGACAGTACTGCTAGCAAAAGACACGGTGAGAACGTCTTCGACTAGAGTAAATGGAAGTCTACCTATTCTGTTCCACGAGTTGAAGACATCTCTTCACAGAATTGGCGGGTTTCTCGTGACTGGCTGATGAACCAACAATCAGCACAGCAGTGGGGCTCCGACTGCTATGCTCTTAATTGTTGGTTGAATAGTCGTGAAGGTATGCCTACAGGGATGTGTGACATACATAGGTTGAATAAATTGTAATGTACTCTTTGCAACCCACACAAGGGTATAACTGCTACAAAACAGAACAATGAATAAGGCGACTTACCGATAGTGGCGACAAGAGCGTAGACAAAGTAAAAACTACCAGGGTAGTCCCACAGGCGGCGGTTCTGGGGAGTGTACCCTTCGTCAGACATATTGCCCCACGTAAAGATAAGGTTATCGATCGTAGAAAAAGTCACATTTTCGCTGTTAATAGAATCATTCACTGTCTTGCGTGCACTGGTGTACTTGTCAAGGAAATTACTTCTTGCCTGCATCTCATATTCCTCCTCAAAGGCCTGGAAAACGAGGGCCCCCAACGCCATGTAGATGAGCAGTAATGTTGCCAGTATCAAGAACATTGTGTGGTCTTCCTTCAAAGTCATAATTTTCTGTTCCTGAGGATCAGTTTGGTGAACATTCGCAGGCAACGCCACCCTGTCTGTCTTATGGACGACAAAGGAAGAACGTCGTGATGCAGAACGTAAACAAGCACAGCAGCCCACTGAGTTCTTCGGGTGAACCCAGTCCTCTTCACTTCCTCCACTGAAACTACTGTTTGCAATTCTTTCACTGCCGTCAAAAAAGTTTCCGTCGGGATTCTCTCTATTACTGTGATAAATGCTTGGTTTTCTATGCGTATTTTTTTCCGACTGAGTACCCGTCCAATTACTAACTGTCAGCTTTGCTTTCTGATGATGCTTGGTTTTTCCATGCCTCTCGCCATTTCTCACATGCCCGTTGTTGTCTGTATCTCGCTCTCGCTCCAGGTTTGTAAGCTTGATGTGCGAGCGACGATTATCCTTGTGGAACATTTCTACCTGACCTGGAAGTTCCATGAAACTTGCTGAGTCTTTGCAGGTATTGCGATGCATCGTTGCAATGTGGCGGTCACCTAGCATGCTCACTACCTTCCCACCAGCTTCAAGTTTTTCTTTTACCATTTCACAGAGTCTGAAAAGAAACAAAACCTGATTGGTATCTTCAAGGTAACGACGTCTGTAAGTCAGTTTGTTTAAAATATATTGCAAGCAAGGAATTGATAAGAAACTAAATCTTCTTTCATGAGGTACAGTTGTACAAGATCAAAATAAGACCTCGTCACCCCATACCTAATTAATACTTGTGATGTAAATACAATAATAATCATCCCATGTAACATTTTGTTTTCATTTTTTATTTTATATTTCATATTTGCAGTACATCTGTCTAAAAATAATAGGACAAAAAAAAAATTAACGATATTTATTTTAAAAAGCTGGTTTCAGGAAAGATTAGGATGTGTTGTTTGGTGAGTATATGTGAGGTAACCGAGTACCTTACAACTGTTATTACGACTGTGTGAGTCTTAATTTATTAGGCTTTTATCACACAAACACTTCTGCATTATCTCAGTACCAGCCAAATTAGCAGCTAGAGGGGGCTGACTGATTTGCTGCCAGATTTATACGTCAGCCAACTGAGTGACGTATATATATAACTGATGTTATATTTACTGCCTTGGATGTAGTCAAACTTTTACTAGCCAGCTGAGTACACAACTAGTCACTCTGGTATTAGATGGAAACATTATTGCAGTGAGTGAACTCAATTGTCTCTCTCACTCATAACATCTTGCCTTTGTATCGTCTTTTGTTTATAGTGTAGACATATTAGCGGAGAGTATATTCACGTACTCAAAACTATCGTTAGTGTTTGCATCTGAATTATTTCTCAGAGGTTTGCTCCTTGTCTAAAAATTGATTTACTGTCAGGTACAAGAAGACGTCTTAGTGACGAGTCCTCATCGTTTTTAAATATGAAATCGTCTCGATCAAATATTTAAATATTTTTTTAAAACCAGTCGCTGCCTACTAGAAAACTCAGCTTTCATCTCAACTGCCAGTAAAATTCTGGTTCCTCTTGTCATTAACACATCCCTAAGATAATACTGAATACTTGATGATACACGAAATGGTGGTTTGAATGTCTGCAGTGCCTAGTGACCTTTTCACAAGTTTCTGACTCTGCCAATTACAGCTTATATCTTAAGATGTACGACTTCCTGCGAAAAGCCGAAATCTTACCAGATGTACTTCGATTACTGTGCGATCAAAAAAGGTATTTCTGTATTGCATAACCCAAGCCTCGGTGCACTCAAAGGGCAACTCACTGTGCTATGGGGCACCTTTAAAAAGTGGCCCAAAAATTAAAATTTAAGCTTTGAAGTAAATTAAAAGAAACATTAACAAGCTATTTACATGGGAGTGATGATTTGTTCTGTATGGCTCATGCGGCCCGAGTGGCTCCTCCTCCATTTGGGTCAGCGGCAGAGTGGCTCCCACAGTTTGGCTCATACCCCTGAGCGGGGCCCCCCTCTGAGTGGGCCCCCCTTTAAAAACCCATATCTAATGACCCCTTTAAAAATCGCCCTCGAGACCCCCTCCCCCTCGAGACCACCTCCCCCCCGACCACCCTCGCCCTCGGGGGAACCCCCTCAACCCCCAAACCCCCCACCGACCACCCCCCCCCCCAAAAATCCCCCAATCCCCCCCGCCCCCCCCCAAACCCCCCCACCCACCCTGGGGGCCCAGCCCCCCCCCGACCCAACCCCAACCCCCCCGCCCCCCCCCGGCCCCCCCCTTTCCCCCGCCCCCGCCCCCGGCCTGCCCCCAAGGCCTTTGGCCCCTGCCCCCCTCCGGGGCCCCCCCCCCCCAAATTTTTTTTGACCCCCCCAAAATTTTTTTTTTGGTTTCCCCCCCCCCCCTCGTCCCCCCCGGGTTTTTTGGGGTAGCCCCCTTTTTTCCAACTTTTTTTTTTCCCCCCCCCCAAATTTTTTCGAATTTTTTTTTCTTATGATCTCCCGGATCAAATTTTTTGGTTCCCCCCTCTGGGTAAGTTTTTCAAATGAACTCCCACTTGCATCCCAATATTTCTCCCCCCATCTCTGGGATCAATTTTTTGGATTCCCCCCCACTTTCACCCCATCCCAAATTTTTTCGAATTTTTTTTCTGGAAATACAAAAGACCTCCATCTCCTTGGATCAATTTTTCCCGATATACCAAGACTCCATCCCTTGGGTCAAGGTTTTTCTCCTCCATCTCCCGCATCAAGTTTTTTTTGATTCCCCCGACTGGGGGAACATTCAAATGAACTCCATTTGCATCCCAATTTTTTTTCTTCGATAATACAAGACTCACTTCCTTGGATCAAGTTTTTTTCTCGATAATACAAAGACTCCATCTCCTCGGATCAAGTTTTTCTCGATAATACAAAGACTCCATCTCCTTGGATCAAGTTTTTCTCGAAATCAAAGACTCCATCTCCTTCGGATCGGTTTTTGGATCCCCCCTCGGGGGTAAGCTTCAAGGGAACTCCTCCTATGGGGCATGGTGCTCCTCTCTTATACAGGTCTAAACAAGTGTGACGTCACCCCACCGTGTTTTACTCGGCGGTCAGTGACGTCACGTGATGACCTCACAACTACAAGCTGAATTTTTGTCGACTTCCCCCTATGTCAGTGACGTCATGTGAACCCCACACACACGGGCTAAAATTTTGTCGACTTCCCCAATCCAGTAACACATTCATATACAACAAAAGGGAAAAATTTTCACTTTAACCCAGATAATCCAAATAATTTCACATTTTTTCGTTAATAACCCACAACAATCCACAATTTCTTTACAAAATAAAACACAAGTCTAACATTTTCTCATTTTAACTATTCATTTTTCGGTTTCACTCCCACGAAGAACCCTTCTCTCTTTTCCTCCCCCCCACCCTCCCAACCCTCACACTCCAACCAACACCTCACAATTTTCACTCATAACCCCCAATTTTTCCCCGTTTAACAATTCATCAGAAAGTCACTACAACACTTATACCCTTTTCGATAAATTCACTAGTCAAAATTTTTAACATTTTTACAAAGTTAATACGCACCCCAACCTCACTTTACTCGAACCTTTCCAAAACACTCTCAAAAATTTCATTTGAATACTCACAAAAATACCTTTGAACATTTCCAAACAACACTGAAACACTTCCAAAATACATTTGAAACTCCCAAATAAAATTTAAACAGCTCTAATTATCTGCACTACACATTTCATTAATTACAATCATTCCCCCCAAACTCCCCCTCAGTCTCCAACTTCACAACTTATCACAAAACTAACTCAAACACTTTACTTTGAACATCACCAAAAAACACCATCAATTACCTTAAAATTACTCCAAAAACTCTTTCGAACACCCCAAATCACCTCTCAATACTCCCAGAACACCTTCAAAAGTACTCTTGCACATCATTTGAACACCTTCAAAAACACCTTTGAATACCTCAAAACACAATATGAGTACTCCCAAATACACCACTGAATACTACTAAAACACCACTGAATACACTCAAAACACCACCAAAATCACCATAAACTAAGATCAACACCCACACCCACAACACCCACAACCCACAACACCCACACCCACATCACCCACAACCCACATCACCCACATCACCCACACCCCACAATTTTTTCTCGTTTTAACTAATTTTCATCAGAAAGTCACAACAACAACAACTTATAATCATTTTCAACAACTCTAGTTCGACAACAACACCCACAACCCACAACACCCACAACACCCACACCCCACAATTTTTCTCGTTTTAACTAATTTCATCAGAAAAAGGCACAACAACCCACAACTTATAACCAAATTTTTCGGTATCTCTAGTTCGACAACAACACCCACAATCCACAACACCCACATCCCACAACACCCACATCCCACAACCCACAATTTTTTTTCACGTTTTAACTAATTTCATCAGAAAAAAAAGTCACAACAACAACCCACAACTTATAACCACTTTTTCGGTATCTCAGTTCGACAACAACACCCACAACACCCACATCCCACAACACCCACATCCCACAATTTTTTCTCGTTTTAACTAATTTCATCAGAAAAAGTCACATCAACAACCCACAACTTATAACCACTTTTCAGTATCTCTAGTTCGACAACAACACCCACAAACCCACAACACCCACAACACCCACAACCCACAATTTTTTTCTCGTTTTAAAATAATTTTTATCAGAAAAAAAGTCACAAAAAAAAACCCACTTATATCATCTTTTTTGGTATCTCTAGTTCGACTACATTACCCACAACCCTCATCAATTACCAATTTTATTCACAATTTTTTCCCCTTCTTTTTACTGAATCTTAAATGTAATACACATTCCCCCTTTTCATTACTAAAATTCTAATAAAATCCTCTCCATACCCATGTCCTTGTATCCCATAAATTGATATTATACTCGCATCAACTAATCTCACAAACCCCAAATATTGCGACATGTTTTAACACCCTCCATTCTTTTCCAATATATCATAACTTTTCAATTCATAACTTCTTTTAAAATATTCACACATTCCTTTATTTTCAGTAAAATCTCCCCATATTTCTTAAATTTCTAACCCTCCCCATACCTCTCTCCATCTCACCCGCATTTCTTCACATCCACTCACCCATCCCCAACACACCTCTTCTGAACACACTCAAAAATCACATTTCACATCCACAAATGCATCTCATCACCCATCTCAAATCCACTAAAATCACTGTAACCAAGATATTCACAATACTCTATGACCACCTAACACACACACACACACACACACACACACCACACCACACACACACACACACACAGTGAAGAGGCGGGGCCAGGAGCTGAGTCTCGACCCCTGCAACCACAATTAGGTGAGTACACACACACACACACACACACACGCACACACACACACTCGTGGAGGAGTCACGCGGTTTGAGCTCGTGTTCTGGTGGTAATTTCTGACTGTGCCGTAAGAAAGAGTTGGGATATAGGTGTGTGCACGCATAAGATGCATATAATCACTTAAGCCCCAGAAAAGGAAATATAAGTGATCACAGAAA